TATTCATAATATGGATGCATGGAAGTTCTAATTCTTGTATATATTTGCATCAGATCGTAAGTTATAGCATTCATGCAAATAGTGTTACATTATAAGTAAAAAGGAAATATATTTTAAATGATTAAAATATATGTCAGTTATTACCCAAACACATATGTGTGAGTTTGGAAATATTTGTTTCTTATCCGAACTCATTTACATATATATATATATATAAAGGAAATATGTTGTAGTGGTTCCAACGAGAGAAAAGTATGTATATTAAAAAGAAGAGGGGTGCCGCAAACGTTTTTGGTTGTAATGTGGATTTATTGAGAAAAAATATTATACTTTGTTTTACATAATATATATATATATATATATAACTATCGCACATATAATGCAGGTGTTAATAAATGTAAAACAACAGAGCTATTAAGTATATATTAATAAATATACATATTATCTCACACCGATAACACGACTCGGAGTTTCATGCAAAACGCAATCTTCAGGTGCGCTGAAGCGTTGTGTATGGAAATCCGAGTCGTGCTATCGGTGAAAGATAATACTTATATATATATATATATATATAATGTGTGTATATATGTATGTATACGCAATAAGGGGCATTTAAGCAGCAAAATTTATTTTACACATGATATGTTACGCAGTTACGACAAGGACTGTCTGTATAACTTTTTATATTTTCTCCAATTTCAGACTAAGTTGTCTTAGGTCAGAATTAAAATTGGTAATCTTTTCAAAGTTCTTTTTTTTTTTTAATACCAGTACTTTCGACTATGACTACAGTCGTTATCAAGAATTGCGTGATAAGTCTGTTTATGAAAATGTGTTTGGCGTTCCCTTGTTTGTTTGAATTAATTCCTTGGTTTACTGTGACTTTAAGTGACTTGAAATTAATTCAACAAACTAGGGAACGCCAAACACGCTGTTCTTGATAATGACTGTAGCGACAGTCGAAAGTACATGAATTATAAAAAAAAAGTTTGGAAAGTTTACAAATTTAAATTCTAACTTAAAACAAATAAGTCGTTATTGTTTAACAAAACATGTACATATATATATATATATATATATATATATATATATATATATATATATATATAATGTAATGCCAACTACATATAAATACATTCTATATATTCTATACATAATATATTGAGGGAGAAACAGGGAAAAAAGTCACTGATAAATAAATACAGTCATAAATGAGAAATATACAATACAATCATACAAACGTTACGACTAATATATATATATATATATATATATATATATATATATATATATATATATATATATATATATATATATATATATATATAAATAAGGAATCCTTAAAGATCCGTAAAGTGGTAATAAGTTAATTTCATAGTTTAAAAGTTAAAACCCAATCATTCAGACCAAAATTACATTGGGAAATAAAGTTTCAATTCATCCAGGCACGGATAAAGGCGGGGAAAATGAAAAAGGAAGAATATACAAAAAAAACAATCAGAAAAAAGGGGGAAAAAAGAGAAGAAATAAAGGAAAAATGAAATAGGAATAAGTTTTAATCTTAAAAATGATAAAAAAAAAAACGAAGAAAGAAAAGAGGGAGAGAAAGACAGAGATTCCAATGTAAGGTATATTGGGTGAAGAGAAAAGGAGATAGATAGATATAAGGAGGGGAGAGTGTGGCCCAGAATAAGTTTTATTTCCGGAATTTGACAAAAAAACAGAGTGGGGGAAGATGAAAAAGTCTAATCATTTCAAGCAGCGAAAGTTTTACATTGCATTATACCCGCCACAATTACTAATTGATAATACTACTACTACTACTTCTAATAATAATAATAATAATAATAATAAAAAACATTGTATATATATATATATATATATATATATATATATATATATATATATATATATAAAAGAGAGAGAGAATCAAATATTCAAATATTTTTTAAAATCAGACGATTAATTAACAATTAAAAATAATGTTTCAAAAATTATATTGGGGTATGTATATATGTGGGCTGTATGTTTGTTATATGGTGTGTATTTATGGGTATACATCTGTATGATTAAAGTGGAAAATGTATTTTATTTAATATGAATAATAAATACAAATTAATATTTTAGAGAAATATAATTATACAACAGGATGTGAATCAAGCATCGGAATACATTAAAATGTTCTATTGATTTAAATAAAAAATATATATACCTTTAGTATTTTTATCCCTATATATATATATATATATATATATATGGTGCGATGAATAAATTGTTGTCTAAATTACACAAAAATAACAATAACAGTTCATTTTAACAGATGTATTTAGTAAAATTACACAAAAATATCTAGAAATACGAAAAAATAATGTATTCAATAAAATCGCTATTGGCTTCAAACACGGTCTGTAAAAGAATTCGAAATCTTTTGGACGGTTTCCTTGTTTAAGTTGGTGAATGCTGTCATAAGCTTTGCTTTCAGTTCATCTTTAGTGTCACAAGGAGTTTTGTTGGTCGCTCGCTCAACTGCGCTCGATACATAATAATCAAGGGGGTTGCAGCCTGGGGAGTTAGGTAGCCGGATATAAGGGTTGATGTGGTTCAAGAAATTGTCTGACAGCCATGATTGGGTTATTCTGCTTGTGTGGCATATGTAGATAGTTGTTCCAGCAGTTACCCTCTTGACCCAGGCCAGAACTGCCTCCTCGAGGCACTTGATGTAGGCCTCCGTTTTGAGCCTGATACTTTCAACAAATTCGGGAGTCCTTTTCTTCTCAAAACTGTCAAGAGTGAGTTTTCCGATCGTCTGTACCTAAGTAATCACCCTTAGATTCATCGAACTCTTTCCGAATCCTCTGCACCGCCCTCAGAATGAAACCGATCACTCTGAAATGTTGGAATTAGAGCTTCTGGTGCGAATTCCAAGCAGTAGAGCACGCTGTTTTCAAATTTCTGGCGGAACGTCATGCTCTTTTTCTCACAGAAAGGTTCTGTGCGGTCGACAAAATCAGAAACAAACAACGCGCAAAATGAAAAATATGAAATTTACCCATCACATATGTATTACAACTCATCTGTGTGGCTAGCCATCCAATTGCTTCAAACGGGGATCAAAACTCGACCTATTTTACATCAGTCAGAGAATCTTACCCCTAGACTATCGACGCACGACAAAGAAAGGGAATTATATACATTATACCTTTATATATATATATATATATATATATATATATATATATATATATATATATATATATGTCTCACTTGCATCCAAACACTGAACTTAATCTCTCAAGCCAGTGGAATTCCCTTAATCTCTTCCCGCCTGTGGGCCTCCCTTCCGTTTACTTGTTTGTCTGATGACTGCAATTTTCAAAATTCTAAATGCAACGTTAATTGCCATCTTCTATCTTGTTGAATTCCGTCCATCTTTTGTCCTTTCTTCACTCCTCCCTCTAGTTAGTATTTTCTCTCACTTTCACACCCCTTAACCCCCTGCGTAATAACGGCATTTCGGCCTTGCTTTGGGTGAAATGTTTATATATATATATATATATATATGAGTCGAAAAATGCTAACGCATTTACGATACTCTATACTCATGAGGTAATTTTGGATTTCTTTATTAAGTAATTTATATGCTCTGTTATAATAAATACATTCAGCTCTTTTTGTGGATTAGTTTTAATATTTTATATTATTAGGATCCACTTTGATTATATACCAGCGGATTTATTACCTATATATATATATATATATATATATATATATATATATATATATATATATAAAAAAGTGTGTGTTCACCTAAATAAGTACACCACTACCTTTTTGTAACTTAAACATACCTGAATTTAATTATTTCTTGTGTGTCCTTGTACAATCTGAACAGATACATCGCTTCGAATGTAGTTATTTAAAATCAATATTTGCGTCTACCTATGTTTTTTTTTTCTTTTGCTATTGCTTGTAGACTTCATGAAGATATTGATCTCAGCTGGTTTGCAGAAACACTCACTGTAATATTTTACCAGTCTGCTGTCTTTCAGTTCTGATTTGTGAGATGTTCGATTCTTTTTCTACTTTCCGTTAAGTACATTTTGAAAGCGTCCAATTGAATTTAAACCCGATGCGAATCGAGCAGCATTACCTTTCGTTTCTTTTGAAATACTATTGTCTTCTGAGGGAAGTGATTTGGATCATTTAAAAACAAAATAAAACGTTCTCAGCTCAACCAAGAAGAGATTAAAAATGAATTCTAACGTTTGCTTATTTGCTTGATCACTTTTCAACATCAACTCAATTCTCTTCTCTCTCTCATAAAGACAGATTAGTTAAGAGCTATAAATAGATAATATAAATATGGCGAATTTACATATGGAATCACTAGTTGCATGCGATAATCAGTGTATGGAAAGTGCGAATAATATAATGGTCGTCGGCTCGGATAGAAAAATCGGTGAGCCAAGATCACATCCCGATGGGGTCTGTAGCCTTCACTTTCGCACAAATTTCATTGACAAAATCTGTGATCCGTCTCGTCTACCCCTCTATATGAGTTAAACAGCAGAGTAAACTGAGATATCTAAACTCGGGTAGTCAGTTGTCTAAGAAAACGACATTATCCCAAACCGTACAAAATGTAACAGATAATCATTCCATTATCTTTCCAATAAAGGATTTAGTAATTTACGGTTAATAAAGAATAATAATAAACATCATTGTGTGTATATAAGAGAGATGGAGTCAAATATTCAAATATTTAAAAAAAAAAATCAGACGATAAATTAACAATTAAAATAATGTATTCAAAAAATTATATTGGGGTATGTATATATGTGGGATGCATGTTTGTTATATTGTGTGTATTTATGGGTATACAACTGTATGACGTATATGAATAATCTGTGGAGGAAATGTGCGAATAATATAATGGTTGTAACAATAACATTCCATTTTAACAGGTGTATTTAGCAGAATTACACAAAAATATCTAGAAATACGAAAAAATTAAATTTATTCAATAAAATCTCTAAAAACAAGAGTACTGGATCAACTGTGGATATAAGTGTATTCATATCAGTCTTGAAAGAATATGTCATTTAAAAATTTCAGTGCCGTGTGTTTTAGAATTAAATTTGAACCGATTTCATACTTTGTCAAACCCTCAAGGAATTTATTCTGTCATCCTAGAAATGATTGTATCGCACATATTATATATGTTCCAGGAAGAAATACATTTGAATGTTAAAGTAAAATTTTGGATTAATGATTTAAAGTTGAAAATCGTGAAATTTGTGAAAATTTCATTGTACTTTTTTTTCCATTAATAATGATTTCACGTTCTTCACAAGTACAACATTTCTGGTGTTTTTTTTTTCTTTTTGCTTTAGAGTTCAAGATCTTGATCACTATCGGATGAATTTCCAGTCAGCATTTGCATACATCAAAATGAGCAAATGGGATCGATCTCCGATTTCCAATCAACCGAAAACTCATTTTGTTGCTCATTCAGGCATTCTATAAGGCGTTCCTGAACTTTCAACGATTCCATGTCAATATCTGCCTTCATACAGATTGTCTCCATCCAATGGAAATGCATGAACGCACATGTGAGCGTGTGTCAAGTGTTGAATGTGGGCGTAAAAAGAAGAATTCGCGTAGACACGGTTAAAATTTGAAATATAATGCTACGTCCATAAACAACAGTAGGCAAATGCCAATGTAGCATATATCACTGGTGAAAAACCCTAAAATAATATACGAATATACTCTCACGCACGCATAGAATTTCGTAACTGTGAATATAAACGTATTTTGAAGAAAAAATATATGTCACTTAACACGAATATAATCATTAACAGATTACACGTTATCAATTTTGACGAGATATGAAATCTGGTAAAAAAAAATATCAAATTCATTTAAACTTAAAATTTCTCCAAAAGAGTGATGGAATAGTGTGATTATATTCCCAAATAAACATTCCGTGGACATACAAAAAACAAATCATCGTATCTAATAAAACATTGGCACAAATCAAACATACATGTTTCTAAATATAGAATAACTTTTCTTATGTATTATCTACATGTCTATATAAGAAATGTATCGATAAACGGGGTGTGGATAACAACGAACAAGTGGCTGAAGACTAAGAAAAAAATCTGCAATTTTATTGATCCTGACCTGGCATCTCAACGTCAGTCCGTTTTTTCCCCCGATGCCTTTTCTATAAATAATTTTAGAGTTAATGTTCGGATGAATTCTATGCTGCCTAAACTCCACAAGTTAAGGCGCGTTATTAGATTGGCGGCAAGTTCTTATCATTTTAGAGACGAAAGGTCCAGATGTAACAGTAAGTTCAATGTTAACAACTTCTTTCATCGCACTTCTCGCATGTGAAACTCTCTTCTGGCTTCTTGCTCTCCAGTCAACTTTCAACTTCAAAAATTTAAATGCAATATCAACCGTTATTTTCTAATCTCTTAAAATCTGTTCTTTTATTGTCCTCGACCGTTTCATACTCACTAGATCCCCCTCCCCACACGTATTAACGGTTCTGTTGCCTTGCTTGGGGTAAAATTATCAAAAAAAACCGCCTACAACTTTGTTGACAATATATATATATATATATATATATATATATATATATATATATATAAAAAAATATAATAAAAAGGCTTAAACACTAATATTCCATGGTCATAATTTATTCCATTGGAATCGTAAATACTATCCAATATCAGACCTACAAATTATTATAACCTTACTCTGTCCCGGACATTGAGTTCTACCTGGATTCTATCCTCTTGGATTTATTTTTCATATAAATATATATGTATGTGTATGTATATATATTTACATATTTTAGATATATATACATACATACACATACACTGTTGCGAAAAAAGAACTAAACAAAATGAACACAAAACGATCAGCTTTAAATAAGGACTCGTAACTGAAAAAACCGAATGAATAAAGAATGTTAACAACAAATACTTTTTTCACACCCAACCCAGTTCTGCGGAATCAGAATCAACGTTGAGTTTAAGAAAGCGAATGAGCCAATTGGAGTAAAGTGCCATGCATATTTAATTTTTTCCCACATGCTAGTTAACATTCGTGTCAGTCAACTGCTGGCTCTCACCTTGGCTAATAGAATCTTTCTGCCTATTCGTGGAAGCCAGCTATTGGCTCTCACTCTGGCCAGTAGAAAATGGCCGCAAACTACATGAAAACTGCCGTAGAAGCATGAAAAAATCGATTATTTCCACTATCGATGGAAGTTGGGAAATGCAAAGTCGGTCTTGGCCTTCCCGCTAACTTGGAGCATGTGCATGTAAATTTTGGTGCAAATTCGTCGAAAATTGCGGCCGTGCATTCATTACACACACACACACACAGACACACACACACAGAGACATCCTGCCGTTTATAGACAGAGCTTCTCAAAAATGCATATGCATCAAATTAAATACGTAGGACAAACAACAA